CTCCTGGGTCGTTCTGCTTGCGGTCCCGAGGCCAGGCAAGGGCCCCCAGAGGCCGAAACTAGGGAAAAACCTCCGGCCGTGACCTCTTCACCACGCGAGGGAGTCTCGCTGCGTCCAGTCGGTCGCCCTCGACCCTCGAGGGCGCGGGGGCACCCCCGGCCTCCCGTGGTTGATCTTGAGCGTGGCGTCGCGGAACAGCTCGCGGCCTCGGCGCCGCGGGCCGCCCGCCAGAGGCCGCGGAGGAGCGCTGCAGCTCCTGCCTCCACCTCCCTCCTCGTCCTCCTGCTCCTCCTCCGCCTCCTCCTCCTCCTTCGTCTCCTCCTCCTCCTCCACCTCGGCGCCCTCCTCCTTCGCCTTCTCCGAATTATCCTCTTACTCTTCCTATTATTCCCCCTCTTCCCCCTCCTCCTCCCCCCCTCCTCCACCTGGTTCCTGGTCCCTGTCTAAGTGGTCGTCGAACGCAGCCTCCAGAACTCCACCTCCTCCTCCTCCTCCTCTTCCTCCTCCTCCTTCTCATCCCCCTCCTCTCCCCCATCATCCTCATCCTTCTTCTCCTCCTGGCCTTCCTCTGCCGCCTCATAGATATGCCTCCTCCCAGGCCCGCTCTCAATGCTGTGCGGCGTCGACTTCGCGCGCTGAGGCTGAGAGCCTTGAGCAACGGGTGCTGGACAGGAGGAAGCGGGCCGCCCACGTCCTCGAACTCGGAGGGCTTGACCTAGTCTGATGTGCTTTGATCAGCCCTTGGGGGCCGCTTCCGCTCTGCACGTTGGGTCGAAAGGCCTGCATGGTCGGTGCGGTGCTCCGCCCCCATAAATCACCATATCCCCCTCCTCCTCCTCCTCCTCCTCCTCCTCCTCCTCCTTCTCCTCCTCCTCCTCGTCATCGTCATCATCAGCAGCATAAGCATCATCATCATCATCATCATCATCATCATCATCATCATCATCATCATCATCATCAACAGCAACCGCCACAACAACACATTACCAGCACCAGCGACAACAACAGCTACATCACCATCACAACTAACCTTTACCGTCAAAAACATCATCATCTGCATAAACATAACCATCAGCCTCATCAGAAGCAGCAGCACAACCTTCATCGCCAGCATCATCACACACATCTTCTTCCTGCTCAGCATCATCATCATCCTCATCCTCATCATCATCATCATCATCACTTACATCATCATCATCATCATCATCATCATCATCATCATCGTCATCAGCATGATCATCACCACCACCACCAGCATCATTATCATCAGCACAGAACCAACATGGTCATGATCTCCGATCCCTGCTACCTTCTTCCCCCCCCTCATCCGTATCGTCATCTTCGCCCTCATCACAGCTACCATAATCAACAGAGTGCTTCTCCACACATCACACTACTACTACTACTACTACTACTACTACTACTACTACTACTACTAATAATACAAATACTACAAATACTACTAATACTACTACTACGACTACTACGGCGACTACTACTATTACTACTACTACTACTACTACTACCACGACTACTACTACTACTACTACTACTACTACTACTAATACGACTACTACTACTACTACTACTACGACTACTACTACTACTACTACTACTACTACTACTACTACTGCTGCTGCTACGACTACCACTACTACTACTAATAATAATAATCATACGAATACTACTACTACGCTACTACTACTACTACTACTACTACTACTACTACTACTACTACTACTACTACTACTACTACTACTACTACTACTACTACTACTACTACTACTACTACTACTACTACTACTACTACTACTACTACTACTACTACTACTACTACTACTACTACTACTACTACTACTACTACGACTACGACTACTACTACTACTACTACTACTACTACTACTACTACTACTACGACTACTACTACTACTACTACTACTACTACTACTACTACTACTACTACTACGACGACGACGACGACGACGACGACGACGACGACGACGACGACGACGACGACGACGACTACTACTACTACTACTACTACTGCTACTACTACTACTACTACTACTACTACTACTACGACTACTACGACCACTGCCACTACTCCTCCGCCATCTCCTTCTTACATGTCGCTATCAGCATACTAGCTACAACGAGCATAAACCGCATCGTTGTCATCCTCACCGCCATCATCGTCACCGCAAGCATAATCGTCATCAGCATCGCCACCACCAGCAACAGAATCATCAGCATCAGCAACATCATCATTTCAACCATCCGCATCAACAACATCATCACCGCGGCAGCCTCCATCGCCATCCTCATCATGCTCACAACCATCACAACCATCATGCCCATCATCATGAGCAGCAGAAACAACACCACCATCACCATCACCAGCACCAAAACCACCAGCATCATCTAAAGCATCATCATCACCACCACCATCATCAGCATGAATCATCATCCGGATCATCATTGCCACGATCGATATCGTCTCCAGCGTCGTCAGAACCACCATCCTCTCCATTACCATTATTGCCGTCAACATCATAATCACAGCCGTACCCATCATCACCATCACCATCACCATCACCATCACCATCATCATCATCAGCATCATCATTACTCTCACCATCACCAGTACCAGACATAAAAAGTCACAATCATCATCATAATCATCAACAACATCAGCATCATCATCATCATCACCATCATCAGTACCGTCACCATCATCATGGTCATCATCATTAACATCATCGTCCTCATCAGAATCATCATCAGCACAATCAGCATCATCATCATCAGCACCAGCATCATCATTCGCTGCCTTGTCGTCATCGTCATCGGCATCAGCATCATCAGCATCAGCATCAACATCATCATCAGCAGCATCTGCAGCATCATCATCATCGTCACCATCACTATCATCACCAACACGATCCTCATCACCATGAGCATAATCATCCTCAGCAGAAACAGCACCAGCATCAGCATCAGCAGCATCATCATCGTCATCAGCATCACCACCAGCATCGTCATCGCCATCGTCATCGTCATCATCATCATCACCATCATCATCATCAGCAGCAGCATCATTTCATCATCATCACCATCATCATCAGCAGCAGCAGCATCGCACCGAGCCAACTCCTTGTGTCCAGCGCCCATCGCGCCTCCTGCGGGGATCACGCCTCCAGCGTCGGCCCGATTTCCAGGTTGTCCATCGGGCACGTGGCGCGCACACGGAGCCACCTGTCGATGCAGCCCACGTGGCACACGTGACGGCAGGGCAGGCGGCACAAAAAAGAAAGGTCGTGCAAGAACCAGCATGTCGAAGTGCTCGGCTCTCTGATCAACCGATAACAAGTCAGTGAAACCCGCTCGGAAGGCGTAAAGTTCTCCCGCGCGATGAAGGCGCCCAGACGGACAGGGGCAACCAGCATGCGGGATCTCATCTCGTAGCTTGGCGACGCCGAGTAGCATGCCCAGCCGCTCTCACTTGTCACACGGGGCACCGGGGCCCAGAAGGAATTGCCCAGCTTGAGCTCGGTCGCCAGCTCGCGCCTCTTGTCCTCAAAGTGCGGGCACTCCTGGAAAAGATGGCGGACACTGGGCAACGGGCAGCTGCGCCACTTACAACATTTGTTCAAGCGCAGTCTTGTGTAAGTCTGGCAAGCGCCGCTTCGATAAATCATGACACTCTGCGATTCTTCAGTGGTCAAGCTTTTCTCAAACTTCTGGTAGATCTGGCTACTGCTAAGATCAACATCAACATCTTCGATACCTTCAACCTCGTCACGTGTGAGATGAACTGAACGCAGGCAAGCTACACAAGCGACGGCACGTACTGCGTGGGCCCCACCAGGGGCCTCTGACCAAAACTTTTCTTGGGCATCTCGAACTTGGGCGGTCACACGAAGGACTCGAGGATCTGCTCCAGGAGGGACCCGCAGACAAACTCCCCACTGAGCGTCATGGTCGACATACTCTAGGTTTATCTGGGCATAGTGGGCCCGCAGGGCCTTGCTCGAGAACTCGCTCGGGATCAAATTCTCGGAGCGCACGGATTTCATAATCTGGAGACACGGCGAATATAGGGGATGTAGCTGTACCCTCTGGGTCCATCAGCGGCCTGCACACCACCGCGTATTTGCAGTTCTCAAAACAGCGTGGAATAGGGCCCCAGGAGCCCACCGAGGAACTGGTTCGACCAGCGGGGTCGCCCAGAGCCAGAGGGGCCTCACATAGGCCGCGGCAAGACGTTCGCGGACAGCAGCGGCCCCTGGGAACGACTTCAGCACCCCCACGGCCACCTCGAGCTTCTTCCAGCCTCCTCGAGGCCGAATCGGTTTTTCAGAGTCGGCGGGATCGCACATCACCCCCAGGTGCTCTATGTCGTTCTCCTTCCCCTTCCTCCCAAAACTGGCGCTTCGACGCGTTCTCCACGAACCCCGCGTCCTTATCAAAGGCTTGGGTCTTGGCTAAACCCTCAGCTAGACCAAGATCGGCACGATCTCCACCCGCCGTCAGGGAGCGGTCGCCCATGCACGCCCAGCCCTGGGCGGGCTCGGCGCGCCACGGGATCAATGTTGCAACCGTCGCCCCTGGAGCACAGGAATCTCCTTGAGGCAAACCCTTTACCACCCACAACGGAGGCGATAGTTCATCCTGCTCACAACACACTCTGGGTCCCTTCCACGCACAACGACAGATACTGATAAGTGCTTCTGGGGCTCGCTCAGCTTGCAATGCGGCTACTGCTACATAATGGTCTACGTTGTCGTAGGCTTTGCTAAGGTCCATCTCTAACCCCTTGGTGGCCCCCACAGAGAGCCATGCCGAGATAGCGTGACTGACGCTCACACCTGACTTACATGCATACAGGTTCTCGGCGGCCGTCGGCGGGGCGACTGCTAGAGCTGATAACCAACATCTCACTAGGGCTGACGCGACACTAATGGGGCGCGACTCATTTTCGTCCTTCTTCGGGATCCCCACCACCCTCCACACGAATATCTCCTTCAAGAGCCCGCGGTCGAGCTCTCCCTTGACCGACACCGCGTGGGACGAGGTGTCGCACCAAACGAAGTACAACTCATCAATGATGAAGGGGGGCAACTTTCAACAACAGGCGGACCTCGGAGGCCTTCCACCCATCCATACCTTCTGCGCCTTTACACTTTTTTATGGCTGCTATGAACCC